TTTAATATAAGGGGCTGCCTGTAGCATAAATGTATATTTTAGAAAAGTCTGGCCTTATAGGACTCCGAGTCTACGTTTGTATATTTTCACAGTGCCTCCCAGTTGATCCAAAAACACCATGGGCCTCTCATTCTTTTTCTTTTTTTTTTTTTGAATTTGCAAGAACATGTGAGTTTTATTATTAAAGTTTTAGCCTGGGTCTATGCAGAGAACTGCCTGGGCTCCTGTAATATTTGCAAGAAAGTTCAATCTAGTTTTCTAGATTGAGGCAAGCTCTGTCAGGCTCTACATGCTGCTAAAGTGACATTTTGATATGTCTGGTGGTCAACTCACCCTTTCCTTTTTTTTTTTTTTTTTCATACCCAAAAAGTCATCAACACAGAAGCCATTTTTGGGTTATTTGCAAAAATTATCTTTTGTTTTTTCATAGCTTTGGCTAAGGAAGTTAAACCAGAACTGATTCCTAATGAAAAGGAATATTGTGGGACCATTTATTTTTAGGGCTTTACTTTCAGAGTAATTTTCCCTTTCATTTAGTGGTACTGAAAGTATGGCAGGCTGAGAAATATCAGGTACCTCAAATTTATATTTAGTTTCCTTTTTTAAAGTCTCTAGAATGGTTCCAGAGCTGATTGTACCAAAGCCCATGTTGAAAAACTATAGTAGGGATTTTCATATCTTGTTTAATGATGCCTTTTTAAAGTTTTACTTATTTGTTCCCAAGTTTCTACATCCAAAACACCTTTATCCAGGAACCAAGGAGAGGTCTGAATGACAAAATCTAACAGATCATTTAAGCTGTCGGTGGAGACAGTGGCTCCACTCTGTTCTAATAGGCATCTTAAAAGGATTATATAATTATGACGAGATGCATTCAGCCCCATTTGTTACCCAACCTTAAATAATCACCTCTTAGTCAGTCGTGACCAATGACTGTAGAGGTTACCACACGCACCTTCCTTGAGGTTCCAGGGTTTGTGACCCTGTTGGGCACCACTGCTGCAGACAGGACAGCCCATGAAGTTCTCTGCCATTAGCGAAGCCTCAGAGACTAAATGAATTTGCAATAGTGGGAGGCTGGAGAGAGTGACATTGAGAGCAGCTCTGCTTTTCACTCTCCCATCCCAAGCTTTTATTAAAAACATGAACAAAGGAACAAGACAATAGCACACAATTGTGTTTTTGCTTATAAGATTAATAAGTTACTGCTGAAAACAAGTTTTCCTGGTAGGGAACATGCGCAGAAGGTAGCACTTCCTCAGAGAACAGGAGTCAATTCTGGGAAGAAGTTCTGTTTGCAGAACTTCTAAGATTCTGGAACTCTGTATGCAGAGTAAACAGTTATTCTCCAAACACTCCAGCTCCCTTTAGGGCAGCAAGCTCCCAACAAGCAACCACTGCAGCATGAGTTCCATCCCTGGCCAGGGAGCTGACCCATATGGTGCATAGGACCTTTCCTGTCTCGCCTGTTGCTCCCCTCAGCAGTGTATTTCAGTACATCTATCGATTGTGCTTCCCACACAGTCTCCAGTGAATCCTCTCACCCTCCACACCTCTGGCCTATACCCCAGTTCTTGTATGTCTAAATAAATAAAAATAAATCTTTTTAAAAAATACATATAGGATAAGACACTTGATCTCGTCAGTGCTTAGAGTGTCTAAACTGCTGAGGTCTGGCAAGCCTGCACTTGAAGGCCTTCAAATGCAGAGAGGGGCTGCACCTTCCCCTGCAGTGACCTTTAGGGCTAATGGCTTTCGCCACAGTCCCTAGGTCCGGCTGGGCAAGGAACCAGCGCGCAGGGGGAGAACAGCAAAACCCCCTGAAGACATAGATAAGACGGAAGCCTGTTGAAATATAACGACCCCAAGGAGCCACTACAGGAATGCTGACCACACGGAACCTTATCTCGCCTTCTCAAGGCCCACAAACTTTATTCTAATACAACTGTCTCTCTAAAATCTTTTCTCTAAAATCTTTTCTCTTTCTCTGTCTAAAAAGGTCATTGGTTGCTGATTAAAAAAGAACATATGAAATCTAATAACTAGGCTGATTCAAATGAAACGTTACTAAACACTGTGTATTAATAGAACTGTTAGCTTAATAATTTCTCTGTTATATGCTTAGCCTTGTTAGCATTAATCTTAATAATAAAAATATTACATTGTGAAAAGTAAAACTCACCCGTGCTAATTAATAGTAATTTAGTGGTAGTTAGTAGTTTAAACAAAAAAGTAATCACATAAAACAAAAAGAAAAATTAATAGCCTAACTACTTAGGAATGCGCCTGGGTCCAGATGTAAATCACTGCCCTGTCAATGATAAGCTAAACCTATAAGCAAGCTGATTTCTTCACTGATGTTCGCCATTCCTATGCCTTTAGAAAAACATATATATACTGGTCACCAACTCAAAGAAAATTACACTCAGATTTTCACTCTCTTGAAGTGTGTCTGTCATTTCTTTCGCCAACTCCCTGACCACCCTGCACGCTTCTCTCAACCCTGAGACGGCCTCATCGTCTATTGCTGTGCTGGTCCGCGGCAGAGATGCTAGAAGTACAATCTTCAAAGCAATGTTATATTTTCTTGGATATATCAACAGGCATCTCACATTTCGTGTGTCCAAAGCAGAATTCCTGGTCTCATCCCTCAAATTTCTCCACCAGGCTTCCATCTATCACTAAGGATACCCCCATTCAGCTTCAAACTTGGGATTCATTTTATTCCTTTCTTTGCCACATTCGTCAAATCTAATCCAACTTATTTTGATGGCTCTAACTCCAAAACAGATCATGAATTGTCTATCCTGTGTTCCTATCACTACCCTAATCCAAGCCACCTCATGTCCCCTTTAGATATCTATTACCCTCTCCAAACAGATTTTCCTGCTTATGATACTCAAGCCTTCCCCACCCCCTGCAGCCTGCACCAAGATATTCTACACTCAGAGCCTAAAAAATTAAAATTTAAACATTGTCAGTCACCTACTGAAAGCCTTTCCATCGCAGCAGGATCAAAGGATGATGAGCAGAGCCTCCCTGATGGCCTAGGGGTTAAGTCTCAGTGTTACTACTTGGCCAGGGAGCTAACCCACGTATGGCACAGCAAACCTCTCCAGTCTAGCCCCCTGCTCCCCTTAATAGTGTATTTCAGTAAATCTACCTGTTCTGGTCCCCATTCTTTCTTTGGTGAATCCTCTCACCCCCTGTACTCTGGCTTACACCCCAGTTCTTCTATGCAAAAAAAAAAAAGACTTGTGAGAAGTGAAAAAAAAGGATGACAAGCACACAACAAGCAGTCTCTTTGAGAGGCAAATTCAGGAGAATTTAAGTGGAAACCCCAGAACTAGAGTAGGTGAAGCCAACATAGCTCTCCCTTGACTCTTGGGACCTGGTGGCTTCTTGCTCATTGTCTCCTTTTCTGGCTTCCCCTCTGCACCCACTTGTACCTCTCCCATATCACCCAACGACTAGATGCTCAGGTCCAATTATGACATGTCCTGGGGGCCCCTGCTTTCCAGCGAGCTTGGAGCAACCTGTATGGCCTGGCATGGAACCTCCTGATTCAGGAGTTGGGAACTACAAATTGGGAAGATAGGGAGCCAAGGGAATACCAGGACAGGATCAAGATTCTTCAGTGGGGGGCCTCCCTGGTGGTGCAGGGGTTGAAGACAGCGCTATCAAGCTATTGGCAACCCAATGCAGCACAATTTCGATTCCCAGGCCGGTCAGGGAGCAACCTACATGGTGCGGCAGACCTCTCCTGACTCGCCCGCTGCTCCCCTCAGCAGTGTATTTCAGTCAGACTGCCTGTTCTGTTCTCCACTCTGTCTCTGGTGGATCCTTTCACCCTCCACACTTCTGACCTGTACCCCAGTTCTTGTATGCACAAATAAATCTTTAAAAAAAAAAACTCTTCAGTGGGAAGATGAGGGTGTGACATGTCAAAGGGAGCAAGGAGCAGCCCCTAACAGAGGAGCAGTCCTCTGGAAGAAGGAGTGATGATGCAGGGGGCTTTTGAGGGAGGGGCATCATGAGGCCTAAGAAGTTTGAAAAGCCCAGAAGGTGCAGATTTTTTTTTAATATTTATTTATTTATGCATACAAGAGCTGGGGTACAGGCCAGAGATGAGGGGGTGAGAGGATCCACCAGAGACAGAGTGGGGGAACAGAACAGGCAGATTGATCGAAGTTCCCTGCTGAGGGGAGCAGAGGGCGAATCAGGAGAGGTCTTCTGTGCCATGAGGGTTGCTCCCTGGTCAGCTGGGGATCGAACTGATGCTGCAGAGGCTGCGGATTGCTTTAACCCTTTGCGCCACCAGGGAGACCCAGAAGGTGCAGATTGAAGTGGAAAAGAGGACTTGTGTTTTAGCAGATCCTTAAGGCCACAGGGGTCAGAGTACTGCCAGCTGTCATGAAGGTGACTTCAGGGGCCTCCCTGGTGGCCTAGGGGTTAAGTCTCAGTGCTATTACCACCACGGCCTGAGTTCAATCTTTTGCTGGGGAGCTGACCCACATATGGCACAGCAGACCTCTCCTGTCTCACCCACTGCTCCTCTTAGTAGTGTATTTCAGAGGTGTATTTCAACTAATCAGCCTGCTCTGCTCCTGTCCTCACTGTCTCTGGTGAATCCTCCACCCCCCCCCCGCCCCGTTTCCTTCCCCTGCACCTCCGATCTACCCTAGCTCTTCCATGCAAAAAAAAAAAAAAAGGTGGGCCCTCCCTGGTAGCACAGGGATTAAAGTCTCGGTTCTCTCCTATCTCACCGCTGCTTCCCTCAGCAGTGTATTTCAGTCAGTCCACCTGTTCTTCTCCCCACTCTGTCTCTGGTGAATCCTCTCACCCCCCTGCACCTCTGGCCTAGACCCCAGTTCTTGTATGCATAAGTAAATAAAATAAATCTTTAAAAAAAATGAAGGTGGCTGCAGCCAGCGCTGGCCATTTGGAGGTGCCACCCAAGGGCAGCTGTGCAGGTAGGGAGATTGAAACCTCTTAAACCACTGCCCCATCATTATAAGAATCATTATTTTTTATTTATTCTGAGAGTCTCAGCAAAGTTGAGCTCTTCATGGGCACATGCCCTCTGCTTAGGGTAAAATGTATGGGCAGCAGGGTGGGCAACATTCAGACAGAGCAGGAGTAGTGGGGAACCAAGCACTTAGGGTGTCCAGGAGACCTCACGGGGGATCACCATGACTCATGTCTGAGGAAAGGCTGACTGGGGTTTCCCCATGAGGCTCCAGGAGGCTATGGGGCTCTCCCTTCTCCCCAAAGAAGCTGTCATCCACCTCACTGCCCTGGGTGTCCTCCTTATTTATTGCTTGCTTGAACTGAGTGGAGCCCATGCTGGTGCTGGGGGATGTAGAGAGCTTGAGCTCTGATGGGCTCATGAGCTCCTGCTCCTCTGTTGTGGTATTTTCCTGAGAGGTAAGCGGGTCATGCAGCAAGTCGCTGTGGAGAGAGGATGTGGTGCCATCCTGCTCTCTGTTGGTGACCAGCTGTGGCACTGTGGAGGGGAACTCCTTGCTGGGCTGAGAGGTCTGCCAGGAGGTCTGTTGGAACCCCTGTTGGGAGGCCTTCAGGGACACCTTGGGGGAGGCCTTCTGGGAGGCCTGCGAGGACATTTGCAGGGAGGCCTGCTGGGATGCCTGCTGGGAGCCCTGGGATGCCTGTTGGGCCCACTCAGCCTCCTCCAGCTTCTGCAGCAGGCAGCTCCAGTCAATCTTGGAGGACAGGTGGATGCAGGATCCCTTCACCTTCTTGAAGCCCAGGAAGAGGTCCATGAGCACTTCGGTGATGGGGAATGAGATAAAGCCCAGCTGTTTGGTAAGCCTCTTTTCATACTTGTACTTATAGATGAGCAAGGAGAGGGCCTGCTCTGTCAAGTAGTTGATGAGCTCCTCTTGCCAGGGGTTAGAGATGCTGGACTCAGAAGACTTGGACGAGATGGTGGGCAGTGGCTTCTTCTTCGCAAGCTTGTAATTTGGGTTCTGTGCAGCAGCCAGAGAGGAAAAGAGAGATATGTCACATCACCCAGCAACCCTGGGAAGTCTCTCTTCCTAGAGTACCCTCCACGTTACCTCCATGGACATCACACTTGTCACATCTCTATGCTGTCCAGTTCAGCAGATGAAAACAGGTCCTGGAAGTTGACCAACCCTCATGCTTCCCATACACGGGTCACAGTACTAGCCAAACCTGAGACTAGACAGCCTGGACTCCTGAAGTTTATCACCCTGATCATCATTCATAGGATGGAAGAGTGCCTGGCCTTGGTGGGTGAGAGGTAGGTAGGAGCTGTGCTGGGATTTACCAGGTGAGGCTACCGACATATTCTACTACACTTGCTGGCAGTTTCCTCTCAGCAAGGCAGTCACATTGGAGAGTCCTTGTCTTAGGTTGTGGGGTCAGAAGGAACTAGGCCTAGGATGCAGGACCCCACTTTGGGCTAAACCCGCTGTCCACAAGGGACAGGACATTTCCCACATGGGAGGACCTCTGAGATTCATTTGCAAATGTTAAAGAAATACCCAGAGTAAAAAAGAGTCTTTATTTGTCTTTGATAACAACAGGATTCCTGGTTCCCCATCAGCCCCTCCCCTGCTCAGGTGGTTTCCACAGGGCAGGTCAAGATGCCTTGGGCACCTGCCAGTGACAGTAGCTACTAGGAGTGGTGTGGTGGCTATAGAAACTCTTCCTTTGCACACCCATCCCTAAGCCCTCTGGTCCCACCCTTGAGGAGGCCATTTCCATATACAGTGAAGTAGGAGGAGAGTAGTTGTCTACCAAGGTGAATGGGGTGGTGGTGGTACACATGGGGGGTGGTGGTGGTGGTGGGGTGGGAGTGGTGGTGGTGGTGGTGGGTGGTGGTGGCGGTGGCAAGACAGAATGCAGGGGGAGGCTGGTGGTGCTGTGACTGGGGTTGTGGGGTGGGCCTGGTCAGAGGGCAATTCTACCACAATTCTGGGGGAAGGCAGTGTGAGGTGCAGACTTCGCCAGGGCTGTGGCCTCTGGGGGAAGGTTAGAGAGGGCCTGGAAGTGGGCATGGGTGATCTTTCTACTTCACCATCCTGATCAGGCACCTCCTGCCTGGGGGAGGGGGAGGGGTCACGGACCTTGGATTCTTCTGTGGGTGTCACCTGTAGTGTGAATCTGGTGGACCCCTGGGCACTAGACACAGGGGAACCGCCTTCCTTAGGTTTGGCCCGTCCTCTGTCCTTGTTGCTCTTTCTCCAAACCATCTTGGAGTTGGAAGCTGTGGAGGGGATCGATTCATTGGGCTCCTTCTCATCAGTAAGGGTGATTGGCTTGGAACCTGGCATGGGGTTGGAATTAGGCCCTCTGGTGGCCTCCCATTCTGTTGATGGGAAGAGAGGACAGCCATCGTGGCGGCGGGCACCACTGAGCTTGTCCACAGCCTGGTTGATGATGTGCTGCAGGGCAGGGAAGAGGTGGTGCTCTGCCAGGAAGTCGAAGGTACGGTGGGGCTCTTGGAGAGAACAGTAGCCAGGGAGGTTGAAGGGCAGTGGCTGGCTCAGCAAGGACTGGATCTCTTTGTTGAACTCTTGTTTGAGGAAAATCAGATCCTCCTCTCCAATCCCTGCCTCTGATGTTTCAGGTGTGCTCATGCTGGAGCCCATCAGGCCTGAGAACCAGGACAGGGGCTGCTCCGAGGTCCACTGGCTGCTAGCCTGGCTACCCAGTGACTCCCAGAATAGGGAGTCACTCTGGGAGCTGGGTAGACCCAGGCCTTTCTGCAGAAAAAGGGGGAATCTCAGAGGTGTCCAGGAGCAGCCAAATCAGGCGTGGCCCTGGCCCCAGGCTCTGGACTGGGATCCATTCCACACCCCTTCTATACCATGAACCCAAATCTCACCCCTTTATTCTCCAGTCGCAGCAGTCGTTTGAGGTTCTTCTCCATCAGTAGTCTGTTCCTTATGGGTGGCAGTGGGCCTAAACCATGGGCACCCAAGTAGCTGTCCTGGCTATGGGAATCCAGCCAGCCAGTCATGAAACTGCTGGGAGAGTCAGACATGGAACTGGAACAGGATGGGTAGTTGTTGGGGTGTCCAGTGCAGAGGCTGGGCTGTGCACGGTGCCGGAGCACAGTACGAAGGTTGGGCCGAGTACGCCTGTGCTGCCGACCCCTTGGCACCTCCAACGGGTCTTGCACCTCCACCAGCGGCACCCCAGCCTCTGTCTTCATGGTGGCCACTCGCTCAGTTGCCTCCTCCACCACCGTCTGTAGACTATCCAACACCTGGCCCTCAACAAGGAAATCCAGGAAACTGCCAAATGACTGAGGGCTCTTTGGCTTTCTGCAATGACTGTGGAGTCCTGAGCTGCCCGTGGGGCCATAAGTTGATGGTGGATGTGGCATGGGGCCAAGCTTGGAGGCATGCCCCATTTCTGGGAACAGTGGCTTCTTAGGTGGCTGCACCTGAGCAAACAGGCATATCACAGTGGGCAGAGGAGATCACAGGGGGAGGGGCCCCTGGGGTCCTCCTAGGGCATCATGAGCTAGGTAGGGAGTGGGCAGCAGAGGAACTATATTTTGCAGTTAGGCAGCCATAGGTTTGGACTCTGGCTCTGCCACCTTCAGGGAATATGGCTATGAGCATATCTCCTTTTCTTTTTGAGACTCAATATGCTCTTCTGCAAAGTAAGGATCTATCTATTTAGGGTTGCCATTTTAGGTACAAAAGATCTGACCAAGTGTGAAAGCCCATTCTGCTTTCACAGTGGAGCATGAAAAGGCAACTACAAAACCCTTCTGAGTCCCACTAGGGCTCATTATATGTCCAGAGAGCAGGCCAGACCTGTCTCCATTGCTGGTCTAAACGGTCGGCCTTTGGCCCTGACCCCTGTGCTCCTGCTCACTGCCTTCAGTAGATTCATTCTTACAATCTAGGATCCTGTTCCACTAAGTTCCTCTCCAGGCCACTGGAGGTCAGGGGGCAGAGAGAATGAAATTGTAGGTGACTAGCACCCAGCAGGGGTCAGAAAACCATCAAGGTGATAAAGCCATCACTAAGAGGCCCAAAGGGGTGATCAAAGGAAATAACAAAGGGGACTGTGTGATCTTGGCCCCAGAGTTGGTGGGGAACATGCTGGGTGATCTAAGGGTCTGAACCCTGCTGGGCAGACTTACCCGAGCCATATAAGTGGTGTGGCCGGCCTCATCATCCGCCAAGTATCCGGAGTGGTGACGGCAGCTGGTCATGGTGTCGACGGCCAGGCCCGATCCCTGCCACCTCTCTCTTCAGTTCTGCAACACAGCCACGGAAATTCCTCTCTGTTCTAGGCAGGGAGACGGCGCGAGGTTCCCCCGTGTTCCTGAGCAAGCTTTCCTCCGTTCGTCCACCACGGGTCAGTGGTGACCGGGTTCCTAACTCCTTTGCTTCCCGCACTCCTCCAGCTTCATGCATCTGCCCTTCCTGCGCTCAGTCTCCCTCCACCTTAGCCCTCTGCATCTGGGCCCCGCCCCTGTCTAGAATGATCAGGGATGGGGTCGTTGCATCCTGCTTCCCACACCTCTAGGGCTGAGTGTGCGCGACCCTCCCAGACCTCCTCCCAGACTCTGGGCAGCTCTTGTATCTACCCCTGGCCAGGATCGTCCGGCTGCCGGAGTCCACGCCTCGCTCCGCGCCAGCCAGTGCGGTCTGCGCCCACTGGAGCGCGGCGACACTGTGCTGGGGTCGCCCTTCAGGCAACCGGCCTTCTCATTTGCATGCAACACCCTGATTGGCTCTCCACGGAGGCGCACAATAGTGGGGCGGGGACACATTGGCTCCGCCCCCGCATCCCCAGGCTGCCACGCCCACCTTCTCTCAGGCAGTGGGCAGAGGAAGATGCTGATGATCCACCCCGCCAGGCTGGAAACCCCTACGTTGGGACTCGGATTCTCCTTCCGCACCTGCCCTGAGGAGAGCTGAAGGGACAAAGTTTCTTCTTATCTTCTGTTTTTACGCTATTCTGGGCCTCCTGCTCTCTGCTCTTTACCAGGGTTCTCCGCTCGCCCAGTGTGGACTACCCCCGGGATCTGTCTTAAGCCCTTTTCCCTCAGCAGTCTGCCTGAGCTTAGTGGAGGATGCCGGCTCTAAGTCATAGACCTAGCTTCAATTCCCAGCTCTGCTGTTTCCTGTGGGTGTGACTCACACTTTCTGTTTCTCTGCTGTAAACAGAATTGAGCATTCTTCCATCTGGGAGTATATAAATTAAATAAAATTTTCATACAGCATATGGGGCACCCCAATAAGAGGCCTGTATCTTCATAATTTCTCCCTACTTTCCCCCTCTGCCCAGTGACTCCTTATGCAGTCTCCCTACCAGGTTTCACCTCCTGGGAGTCGCCCTACCAAAAGACAGCCCCCCCCACCGCCTTCAACAGAATTACTGAAAATCCCACCTAAATTCTGCCACAGTCTTGTGGTTATTTGCCACCAGATGGCACTCCTCGGGTGTAGAAACTGAGTCATTCACCCCTAACTCTAATATTTCTAATACACGAGTTGCCCAAGAAATATCAGTTGCTCCTTCCAAATCCCTAGGACTTCTGGTTTTTCCAGGAGCCAACTTTCCATTGAAGAATAATGGTTGGTTTAGGTCTGACAATCACAATTGAATACAATAATCTTTATGCCAACAGCTTGGGGAAGGGCTTTTTGAGACCTCTAACTTTTAAAATACCCATCAGGTGGGCATTGTTATTTGCAAGCATGGCTCTGCCCTCTCTGCCCCTGAGCTGCCAGGGTCAAGAGGACAGCAGGCCCAGGTGCATACCCAGAACTTCATTCAAGGGAGTCCCAGATCCACTTCTTCTGGCAGGGTAACCTTGGGTAAGACACTTTCCCTATCTGAGTCTCAATTTCCTCAAGGGTAAGACAGAAATGACATTACCAATCTCATAGGCTGGACATACATACTTTCCTTTGGGAAAATCAAGACAGGAACATCATGATGAAACTCTGGCTGTCAATCATGGTGACTGTTTAGTCATCTAGAAAGAAAAGTTCTCTAGACCATAGAGAAAAAAATGAATGTAGGAATGTAAAATTTGTAGTCCTGCACAGAACCCAAGAGACAGAAACAGGAGCTAATACTTTCTCAAACGAAGCCATGGACATAAGTTTTATTTAATTTTCTCATTGCTTAGAACTTTTGCTAATCAAAAGAAAAATCAGCAAAAGGCAAATAGATCATTTGTAAAAGAAGAAATATAAATGACTGAAAAAAGCATGACAAAGTTCATAGTCACTACAAAAAAATGAAACATTACAAGAATAACATTGAGGTGATCATCATTATCTTTGGGGTGGGGAAGATGATTAGGTATGATTATTTGTTTAGACAAACTACTGGAAGGATACTATCCAGAAAGTTAACAGTGGTCACCTCTGGAAAAGATAAGGGAGATTTTTTTTTTAAAGATTTATTTATTTTTATACAAGAGCTGGGGTACAGGCCAGAGGCACGGGAGGGGTGAGAGGATTCACCAGAGACAGAGCGGGGAACAGAACAGGCAAACCAACCGAAATACACTGCTGAGGGGAGCAACGGGCGAGACAGGAGAGGTCTGCTGCACCATGTGGGATTCTCGCTGGCCGGGATAGAACCACCTCTGCAGAGGCTGTGGACAGCTTCAAAGCGCTGCGCTCAACCCGCTGCGCCACCGGGGAGGCCAAAGGAGATTTTTTTCTGGATTTTTCATGTAAAATATTTTTATTTTTGCAGTTAGATCCAAGTTGCATTAAGTAGAGCCTTGCTCTGATTAGGGTAGATAGAGCACACGGAGCGCGATAGTGGGGTGGGTCGTTGCAGGACCACACCTGAACCCGTAGATGGCGCGAACAAAGGCGAAGCGCAGCCGCCTCTGGGCGTGGCTTAGGCCACGTCACGGGGCGGGCCTTGAACTCTCCGTCCTTCTTCCCCCGGATCCCCGGGTGCCGGCGAGGGCATCCATGGCGCGGCCGCGGGTGCGGCTGGTCGTCACCGCGGACGACTTTGGTTACTGCCCGCGGCGGGATGAAGGCATCGTAGAGGCCTTTCTGGCGGGGGCCGTGACCAGCGTGTCCCTTCTGGTCAATGGCGCAGCAGCGGAGAGCGCTGCAGAGCTGGCCCGCAGGTGAGGCGCGGCCCCCCGTGGGGTCCGGGCGGGCTTGGACGCCGTTCGCTCCGCGGCCGCCGGTGCTCCTGCTCGCGTTTCGCCCGCAGGCACCAAATCCCCACGGGCCTCCACGCCAACCTGTCCGAGGGCCGCCCTGTGGGCCCGGCCCGCCACGGCGCCTCTTCTCTGCTCAGCCCTGAAGGCTTCTTCCTCGGCAAGATGGGATTCCGGGAGGCGGTGGCCGCCGGGTGCGTGGCCTTGCCCCAGGTGCGGAGGCGCGGCTGCTGGAGGATGCTGACCATCACCCCCAAAGTGCCGCCCCCAGCGTACCACGAAGCCCCGAGGGGCGGGAGCTGGGCGCTGGATGCTTGCCTTGTTCAGACACCGGAGAAGCAACAAGGAGGCACTTGGAGGGGGTCCTCCTCGCTAGCTGGGCCCGGATGTTGAAGGTATCTAAGTCCTCTACTTCTAGGTTCGGGAAGAACTGGAAGCCCAGCTGAGTCGCTTCCGGGAATTACTGGGCAAGGACCCTACTCACGTGGACGGACACCAGCACGTGCACGTACTCCCAGGTGAGAGGGTTTGATTAAAATAAGAAAGGCTCACATTTTGGGGGGTGTTGATCCTAGGCAGGGAGCAATGCGCCCCAGATGGAGTGGGAAATGCCCCAGGTGACAGAACTTGCCCGTCTCTGACTCCGTCCGCCTCTCAGGTGTGTGCCAGGTGTTCGCAGAGGCGCTGCAGACTTACGGGGTGCGCTTCACGCGGCTGCCGCTAGAGCGCGGGGTGGCCGGCTGCTCGTGGCTGGAGACCTCGGCGCGCACTTTCGCCTGCAGGCTGGAGCGCGATGCTCAGGCTGCGGTCGACCCTTTCTCAAGGCATGGCCTAAGGTGAGCTCCCCCACCCCCTTCCCGGCCCAGCTCTCTCCGCCTGGAAGGGCTAGGCCCCATCCCAGATAAGTCCTGCCCCAGCCTAGTCCCGCCTCTCAGGTCTTTCTGGTCCCTTCTGCTGAAACACTCACCCCTCCTCCTTCCACAGGTGGACTGACGCCTTCCTGGGCCTGAGCACTTGCGGCCGGCACATGTCCGCTCACCGCGTGTCAGGGGCGCTGGCAAGGGCCCTGGAAGGTATACCCGAGGGCCATATCCTGACGGCTGAACTGATGGCGCACCCGGGCTACCCCAGTGTGCCTCCAACTGGGGGCTGTGGGGAGGGCCCCGATGCCTTTTCCTGCTCTTGGGAGCGGCTGCATGAATTGCGTGTCCTCACCGCACCCACATTCTGGGCCCGTTTTGCCCAGGAAGGCGTACAACTCTGTGCCCTTGATGACCTGCACTCCAAGAGACCTGGTGATGGGGATCCTGGTGAAGCTACTCTGGAAACCTTCCTAGAGCCCTCTCACCTGTGACCCTGACAGTCAGCCAAGCAAACCTTTAGTCCTTCAGGAGTGGAGGCCAGGGGAGGAGTCCTTGGCACAGCCCAGAACCATACTCAATAGTGGGTTCTGTCACTACCCTGGGCAAGTCCACATGGCTCGGAGTGGAGACCAGAGTTTTGGCAACCCCCTTTGGCTTCAGGATGGACCTGTGACAGCCCTGACAGTGCCCGCCACTCTGCAAAATGAGCAACTTGTTTAGGCACATTTGGGAGAAATTGCTTATTAATAAAATAACATGTATCTTTTATTTATTTTTAAGCATGTTTTCATTTATTATTTATTTGTTTTGCTTGTTTTGTTTATACAAGCACTGGGTACAGTCAGAAGCGCGGGAGGGTGAGAGAATTGACCAGAGCCAGAGTGGGGAGCAGAGCAGGCAGAAGGACCGAAGTACACTGCTGAGGGGAGCAGCGGGCGGCAGGAGAGGTCTGCGCGCCATGTGGGACCCTCCTCTGGTGGCCGGGAGCAGCCGGGGATCGAACCGGCGCTGCAGAGGCCGCAGGCAGCTTTGCAACCCAGCGCTCAACCGCTGCGCCACCGGGGAGGCCCAACATGTATTTTTTAAACTTGGGTATTTTATAAACTGCCCAGAAAATCTTGACAGACTTAAGAAAGAACAAAAGCTCTTCTTGGGGTTCAATTCAGGTCACTGACCCAGCAAAGATATGTAAAACAGGCTTCACATTGTGGTTTTGCTCATGCTGAGATTTTCTTTATATTTTGGGAGTGGGGGAAGAATGTCTCACTAGGCTTTTTTTTTTTTTTAAAGATTTATTTATTTATGCATACAAGAACTGGGGTACAGGCCAGAGGTGTGGAGGGTGAGAGGATTCACCAGAGATAGAGTAGGGAACAGAACAGGCAGACTGACTGAGATACGCTGCTGAGGGGAGCAGTGGGCAAGTCAGGAGAGGTCTGCTGTGCCATGTGGGTAGCTCCCTGGCCAGCCGGGGATCTAACTCGTGCTGCAGTGGCTGTAGCTAGCTTCATAGGTTGTGTCTTAACCCCTTGCGCCACCAGGGAGGCCCTTCTTTTTTTTTTAAAAGATTTATTTATGCATACAAGAACTGGGGTACAGATCAGAGGTGGGAGGGGTGAGAGGAGTCACCAGAGAAGATTGGAGAGCAGAACAGGCAGACTGACTGAACTACACTGCTGAGGGGAGCAGTGGGCAAGACAGGAGAGGTCTGCAGTGCCATGTGGGTAGCTTCCTGTCCAGTGGGGGATTGAACTCATGCTGTAGAGGCTGCGGATAGCTTCACAGCGCTGCGCTTAACCCCTTGTGCCACCAGGGAGGCTCTCACTAGGCTTCTTTGGTGGGGGGGGTATAATCTCAATTTTTTTTTTTTTTTTTATATAAGCACTGGGTACAGTCATAAGTGTGGGAGGGTGAGAGAATTCACCAGAGCCAGAGCGGGGAGTAGAGCAGGCAGATTGACGAAGTACACCACTGAGGGGAGCAGCGGGTGGCAGGAGAGGTCTGCACACCATGTGGGACCCTTGCCTGGCAGCCGGGGATCGCTGCAGAGGCTGTGGGCACCTTTGCAACCCAGCGCTCAACTGCTGCACCACCGGGGAGGCTCTAATCTCAATTTTGATTTAAAATGACATCTGCTTTTCAAAGTAAGCAATCCTTTGTCATCCAAGGGGACAAGTCTGGGGAGTTGATAGGAATACATTTACATTTTTCTAGAAGGGTCAGTCTTCTGTAGAAATGGGATCCCAGATTGCTAATTGGACCTGTGTTATGTGGATATACTATGATTGGGACCTGTGAGCCTTGGATCAATGAGATGTGGGGTGCAGATGGGGAAGGTGGGGACAGGTTCTCAGGAGCAGTCCTGCTTGCTTCAGAGGATGGGAAGGCAGATGGAACACCACATAGTCCTCTTGTCTCATGTGTCTCACATTATTGTCTCTATGCACCAGGCATACCAATGTCCCCATTTTACAGACAGGAGTGCTAGAGCGGGACTTTGAACTTAAACTTTTCATTTATTTGCCATGCACTGTACCAGGCTTGGTATCAGTTGCCAAAAGAATTCCTACCAGGCAATCTTGAGGAGTATGCAGCTTTCTGAAGGGTTATAGATGGGATCTTGCTCCTCTTTCCTGCCACCTTCTACCCCCCACCACATGTACCCCTAACCACTTGACTGTACGTTAGCTCTTTTTCTGACTCCATTTTCCATCCTAACCTTCCCTTGATCTTGATTCTTCCAGCCAGACTCTTTCCTCCTACCTTTCACTCATGGCTGTGAACTGGATCACAGTTTGATTCCTCCAGTTGCCCTGACCTTTCCTCACCTTAGCCTATTGGGGTCTGGCCATACTCCTGCAGGCTGCTGGCAGGGGTGGCCCAAAGACTGTCTTTTAGCACAGTCACTTCTCTTGGGGATTCTGCTGTTCTGAGAGGAGGAAGCAAACGGCTTTGTGTCTCAGAGGCTCAGGAGAGGTGATGGGTGTCTGCACAGATGCTAAATGAAGCTGCAGGAGTGCTTACTGTCATGGAGAGATAAGAAAGATGAGGGTCTAGCACTAGGGACCATGAGCATTTAGGAATGAAGAGGAGAGAGGGATGTGGCCAGAGTGGGAGGGTAATCAGATAGTGAGGCCCATTTCACAAAGTGGTAAGGAGGCAGAGGGCCACAGGCCTCTTGTGGGGTTGGTCATTGACACCCACCGGAGAGGTTTCTTATGTCAGGCCTGCTTAGGCAATGGGATTACTCATTACTCAATCCACTCATTCATTAGTCTTTTATGGAGGTTGTGCACTGGTTCTGGAACACATAGCAGCCTGCAAACTCAGTGTGATATACACACTTGGGGATGATTGCTGTGATCTGTGTTGCAATGGTGGAGTGGGGGAGAAACACATGGCAAACTGGGCCAAAGTGGGGTTCCTAACCCACCCAGATGGGTCAGGGAGTGCTCGTCAGTGATTTCCCTCCCTGGGCTTGTTATGGTCCTTGCATAGTATTGGGTAGCCCTTTCCACTCTGATCCTCTGAGGCCTACTTGGTGCCTCCAGGAACCCTGTCAATGAAGAATAACACATTCCATTCCCCCAAGAAATAGCCATTTACCAGGTATTCCCTGGGCTTGGCATACTGAAGTCCCACCTTCAGCTCCATTCCCTGGATTGGTGCTACTCCTCTGTGTTGTATAAGGGAAGCAGGGAGAGAAAAAGCCAGAGGAGAGGGGGCAGGAAGAACTTAAAGTCAGCTCTGGCTTTGTCTTTGACTGTTCAGGTGGCTGCTCTGTAGGGTGGGGCACAAAAGTGCTGCCAAACAAACCAAGTGGAGGCAGAGCTGAGATGCTGCCAGCCCATGGCCTTGGCAATGTGGAAGTCCTGGGGACTTGCCAGAGGAGCCTCAGGAGGCCAGAAGGTCACAGAAGCCATGCTACAGTCAGCACAGGAATCAAGTACGCCCATGAGGTTGTCCTGGGACTCAGAGGATATAGTACTGGGACTTAGCAGATTGATCTGCTAATGACCAGAAGAAATGATCATCTTCCTTTCTGCTAAAGGTCACCCCAAAAAAGGTTCCCCTGGGAGAGCTGCATACCTGACAGGACAGGCCTGGTCTTAGCTGGTGTCAGGTTCCCAGGCAGCTGAGAATTTTTAAAGTGTCACAGCTCTGGCTGGGTCCTGTGCTGAGTCAGTGCGACTGAGAGTGCCTAACAGGCTGCTCATCTAGGGATTGGGAAGTGGCTTTTTTCCCTTTTGCTTTTGGCGTAGAACTGGGGTGTAGGCTAGAGGTGCAGGGAGTGAGAGGATTCAGCAGAGACAGACAGGAGGGCAGGAACAGGCAGATTTCCCTTAATACAGTAAGGAGAGCAGGGGGCAACACAGGAGAGGTCTGCTGTGCCATGTAGGTTAGCTCCCTGAAGGGGATTGAACACAGGCCATAGTGGTGCCAGCACTGAGACTTAACCCCTAGGCCACCAGGGAGGCCAGGGAGGTAGCTGACTGGAATAATTCAAGTCAATGGCCTAAACCCCACCTTCAAGTACACCCTCCACTAGTTTCATTATCTTGATCAAGATAGCCAAACTTCTGGGGTCCTAGTCTGCTCCCCTTGTGGCTCACAGGATCTGAAATGATGTGTCTGGATACAGAGGAGGCTGTCCCCTTCACAGACACACCAGAGGTCCTTAATGATCTGGACCAAGCAACCTTTTCTGTTCCTTGGAGAAGACTAGAACACTGTGCACCTCTGACAGAGGAGCAAGCAGGCAGAAGCTGCCAGAGATTAGCTGCCCCAGGAACCTGGGCCCTGGCCACCCAGTCCCCACCTGAGAGCACAGGTACCTGGCACTGCCCACCTCCATTAAGGAAGAAACCCACACAACCAAACCAGTATTGGAGAGCATTTTTATTAAGGGCAGCAGACCCAGATTGCAGCATCTTAGAAAGCCTATTCTCTGTCATGGGGGGAGGAGCTGGGAGGACAGGAGGACCCGGCACACTTCACTTCTAGAACCTGACAGGGTGAATCCCTGAGTGGGCTCAGGTCAGCGGTGGCTGCTCCCCTTCTCCAGTGGACCCAGCTGTTTGTTGTGGAACAGCCAGGGCTGCCAGCCAGTACTCAAAGCCTGCCAAGGGCTGAGCCACACACAGCACTGGCTGCTGAATGGAATAAGCTGCCCAGGCCCAAGAGGGGGAAGACCACCCGCTGCCTCAATCTCCAAGGGCCAGGCCTCTGCTGAGTCCCTGAGAGGGGCTGCCGGCTCTGAGAAAGATATCCTCCGGTGAGGAGCGGAGAAGTGAGGGGGTGACAGGCGGGCAGAGCTGTGCTGGTAGAAATATGAAGCAAAGGGACAGTTTCCAAGAATGGTGATATTTCTGGATTTAGAGAAGCAACAAGAACAAATGGTGTCTTATGTGGACAGCTTCTGACAGAATTTGGCATTTTATTACAAATCTGCATGAGTGAAATGAAGCCCATCATCACCTTTCTGCTAGTGAGATAGATGCAGAAATAAATGCTGGTCTGGCGCACTTGCCACCTTGGGCACACTGGAGTCTCCAGATCTTGCCCCTTTCATACCTAGCACTGAAGAAACTGAGTTCAGACAGACCACAGGGGCAAGGCACCTGACAACTCAGTGACGGAATGCTAACTACCCTACCCATCACTTCCCACTTCTGCAGTTAAAACCAAGCTCTTACAGATTTATAAGTCCCAGAAAGGTCTCAAATTATAGAACCAAAAACAGTTTAAGTCTTCTTCCCAGGATCTAGTCCGCCCCCCATAGCCAAGAAGGGGAAGCCACCAGTGACAGAAGCAGAGTTGGTGACACATGGCATTTGGACCACTGGTTTTCTTGGTGTGACAGGTATTCTCTGTTTCAGGGACAGTCTCACTTGCTTCGAAAAGACATTAACACTCAAATCCTTACAAGTTCATCTGATGATAAATTCTAAGGTCAATTTTTTATTTCTACAAAAAAAGGCAGTCAAAATAATATAAAACACATGTAAAGGATATTGAGTGAGCTTCAAATGGAGCCTAACTCCGCAAAGGCTGAGTCCAGAGGGATAGGGAAGCCGTCTTGTTCCTGGCCTGGGTGCTCTGAAGGAAGCAGCCAGCAGGGCACTGGCGACCCCAGACTGGTGCTGGCTATGGCTGGAGTCCCGCCAATTCCAACCTCGAAAAGGGTCACACTGTGCCGAGGGAGGAAGGGCTGGCCATGGTGGGGCTGCTTGCATTGAGGAGCTGGAGAGCAAACTCCGTGGCACATTCAGATGGAGCTCGGTGACAGATGAGCGTGGAATTTCAAATGGACATTCTGGCTTTCACGTTGTCTGCAATGACATCTTCTAAAATGGCTGCAGGAAGAACACCAACCTATAGCCGCAGAAGCTTCTCTGGTGAGATATTCCTCACACAAGTGTACAGTGTCCTCTGGCTGAAAGGCCCTTGGGGGTCACCACAAACCTGATGTTGCAGGGTTTCCCCAAACAGGCTGAGCCAGCCTGGAGTTCAATCACACACACACAGATATCGGGATTTGCCCATTTAATCAATGTTGTTGTAGTAACATTTGCTAGATTTTTACGTAAGAGCTGGGTCTCCCTTTTTTTCTGGGGATGTGGTGGTGTGGTGGTGATTTGCTTGTTTTAAAATCTTTTAGAGGAGTCATTTTGTGGATGTTATAAACTCCAGTCAAAAACTGGAGAATATGAACTAACTCCCACATCAGCAGTGCTACACAGGAGAAGAGAAGCCACCAGATATCTAAGTGCCGTCTCTTCTCCTTTGCAGAGGAGACCAGGTCTGGGTCTGCGGAAGTGAATGAGCGAAAAATAAATTGAATGTGAGAAAGTGGGTGCTGCAAGGGAAGTAGATCCACTCTTTTTTTAAACATTAAGGACTAAATGTAAATTGAAGATTTTGGATAAATTTGGACAAGAAAAGAAACACCATCCTTTTAAAGTAGATTGAAGCAGTGATTTTTAAAACAAAGAAAGCAGAACTAGAACATCTTAAATTTTTAATCCTTTCTTTACAGGTTACCTAGACCACTTTTGATTAAGAAAACTGTAGAAAGTTAGTAACTGCCACAAGCGAACGCCAGGCGGTGGCACGTGTCAATTTTCCACAGAGTCCTGCTTTGCGGGGTGTCTGAATGCACTGCTTGGGGTCTCTGCTCACACTTGCTGGAATCAATCATGGCAGATTTTAGTCCACAGGTCGCTTTTCCCCATATTTCTTTGTAAATTCTTCAGCGTTCTTACAGAATTTTTTACGGTCCTTAGAGTATTCTTCAGCTAGATCAGCCCGAAGTGGGTGCTCGGGCTGGGGGTCATTCACCAGTGCTATGAGGGACTGGATTACTGCCAAGAAAAGAATAAGACATTACTGGTTACAAAAGTTTCAAGAAAGGGCCTAGGTGAGAAATACAACTCCGACTTTAACACTGCTTTACATCTGTTTGCATTTAAGACAGAAGTAGCCTCCTATTTATCTAAAATTCTTGCCACCAGCACTCAACCCATCTTTCATCTATAATTGGGTGAAAGTGATAGGGGCAAGGCACCTGACAGCCAACACTAGAGCAGATAATTGTTCAGAGTGATTCCTCGTCCCCCTCCCTTCCCCCCCCCCCAAACCTTCAGGAACTGAATATCCCCCAACAACTCTAATGCAGTCAGTTCAGCGTAGTTTGAATAATGATTACAAGAACAAAGGGGGTGTCATGAATGCATAACCTGGTAAATGCATAATGAGGCCCTTCTCAAAGACCCTTAGGAGCTCCTAAATGAGCCCAAGATAAATTCATATGACCACTCTCTCTAATTGACAGCCCAGGGTAGATTTCACAATGCTCTGCCCAAAGTGCAGTAAGTCCCAGGTATAGAAGATGTAGGTGAAGAGCAGAAGGTCCACGAACCCCAAGGCGCCTCAGAAGTGGACAAGCCACTACACCACCTTACGCACTTGCCCTTACCCCTACCATGACCAGCACCTCTAGAATGCTCATTGCTTTGTTCCTAGCAAAAAGGCATTTCTCCTCTGCACTGCCAACAATAGATTCCTTTATGGGAAGGGGGTAGGTGGACATGCTTTTCACCCCAGCATTACAAGGAATGGATGAAAATGCTAATGCTGGCTAACTCATACTCAAAGGCACAACCAAGCAATAACATCACGCTGAGTAAGGTGAACAGCATGTAGCTGTGTCATCAAAAGACCAAGTGCCCCCACCTCTGCTTATTTATTCTACCAGGTGAGATGGAGCAATCGAGATTTCAGTGAACATGGTGGGCACAGAGTAAAGGTGAGGTGGCATGACACATGCAGAGAAGATGGGGTCCAGGTAGAGTAAGGAGGAGGGGTGTCTGAGCAAGGAGGGGCAATTGTGAGGAGCAGACAAGGCTGGAAGATCTCAAAATATCTCTGCAGGCCAGGCTATCTCTCTCTAATTCAATCCCGAGGCCACTCTTGGGGGACAGACATGACCACCTCTGGGGCAAACATATCACCTCCTTTTACATACCCCTATACTCTCTCTAAGAGGAAGCAGGCCTTGGATGTTGGATGTTTTTTTTTTTTTTTTTTTTAAAGATTTATTTATTTATTTATACAGTCAGAAGCGCGGGAGGGTGAGAGAGTTCACCAGAGCCAGAGCGGGGAGCAGAGCAGGCAGAAGGACCGAAGTACACTGCTGAGGGGAGCAGCTTCGCAACCCAGTGCTCAACGGCTGCGCCACCGGGGAGGCCCAGGATGTCTATTTTTATCTCTATTTCAAAATTTATCCCTTCCATATTTTGCCTTGCCCAACTGAGCAGAATGATGATAAAGCTATTCTGTTCCTATTTCCCCAGCTTCACCCACTGGTATTCCACTGTTTGATATATTTCTATACATATCCTTAAAAAAAAAAAAAAAAAAAGGCACTGCTTCATTACTGTAGGAACCTCACAGGGTTAATGATAGGTTGATTTTGTGGAGGACCCTGAAAAGTTTTCATGTTTTCTTGCTATGTTAGGAATATTTGGGTCTCTGCTTCTCACTATGATCACCTTAATACCTATATTAAGACTTGCTTTTCAAAAGATACTCACTTAGCAAGTTCTATTTGTCTAATTTTTTCCTGAGAATTTGACTTTTTTGATCAAGTCTAAATATTTTCAAATTTATGTAGTGATTCTGATCAGTTCTTTCATTCTTCCTCTGCTCGCTGGGTACATTTCTGGTTCCTCAGCTTAGTGCTAATAAAATTCAGCTGAACTTAACTTTTTTTCTCTTTTAAATTTATTTATTTATACATACAAGAGCTGAGGTGTAGGCCAAGGTTGGGGGTGTGTGTGAGAGGATTCATCAGAGACAGAGTGGGGAGCAAAACAGGTGGACTGACTGAAATACACTGCTGAGAGGAGCAGCAGGCAAGACAGGAGAGGTCTGTTGCACCATGTGGGTCACCTCCCTGGCGGGGGATTGAACTTGTTTTGCAGTAGCTACAGACTGCTTCATAGTGCTGATGTTTAATCCTTATGCCACCAGGGAGGCCCTGAATTTAGCTTGTTTTCATAATAAGAACATTGATAGCTATGATTGCTTTTTCTTTTTTAGGTTTCTTTTTATTTACTTATGCATACAAGAACTGGGGAGTAGGCCAGGGGTGGGGGGGTGTTGAGAGGATTCACCAGAGTCAGAGTAGAGAGCAGAACAGGCAGACAGACTGAAATACACTGCTGAGGGGAGCAGCGGGCAAGACAGGAGAGGTCTGCTGAGCCAAGCAGGTTAGCTCCCTGGCTTCCCTAACCAGGATAAACCTCATGCTTGATAGCGCTGAGACTTTAACCTCTGCGCCACCAGGGAGGCCCCTATGACTGCTTTTTCAAAGCATACCCTTGGCCCCCATCCCATCACTCTTCATATAGAGAATAGCACTCATATTTCAAAAATAGTATAGCCCCAGTTTCTTGATCTTTTATTTTATTTTTTTTAAAGATTTATTTATTTATTTATACAAGCACTGGGTACAGTCAGAAGTGCGGGAGGGTGAGAGAATTCACCAGAGCCAGAGTGGGGAGCAGAGCAGGCAGAAGGACCGAAATACACTGCTGAGGGGAGCAGCGGGCGGCAGGGGAGGTCTGCGCGCCATGTGGGACCCTCCTCCGGTGGCTGGGGAGCAGCCAGGGATCGAACTGGCGCTGCAGAGGCCGCGGGCAGCTTCGCAACCCAGCGCTCAACCGCTGCGCCACCGGGGAGGCCCCTTGATCTTTTATTTTTTAAAGATTTATTTATGCATCCAAGAACTGGGGTATAGGCCAGAGGTATGGAGGCGGGGTTGAGAGGATTCACCAGAGACAGAGTGGGAAGCAGAACAGGCGCATCTACTGAAATATACTGCTAAGGCGAGGGTGGGCATGACAGGACAGGTCTGCTTTACTATGTGGGTTACCTCCCTGGCAGGGGATTGAACTTGTGCTGTAGTGGCTGCCGATAGCTTCATAGTGCTGAGACTCAACCCCTTGTGCCACCAGGGAGGTTCTGCTGTTTTTGTATTTAATACCACTTTACTTTTTAAAAATTGATCTATAAATCATACCAAAACAAACTCTTAAGTGTACAATTCAGTTGTTTTTTAGTATAATCACAAAGTTGTATGACACCACCACTATTTAACGCCCAGAACATTTTCATTACCTAAAGAGAAAACCCACTGTCACTAGTAGTCACTTTTTGTTTACCCTCCTCCCAGCTCCTGACAAACATTAATTTACTTTCTGTCTCTATAAATTTGCCTATTCCATATACCGGATATTCCACACACAGCTGATTCTTGTTATTTGCAGTAGCATATGATATAGATACCACAAACACTGAATGATCAACCCCGAGCCATGAGTGACCCAGGAAAGCCAGCTATAGAACCACTCAGATGAGTCCAGTCAACCTACAGAATCAGAAATAATAAAGTGCTACTTTAAGCCACTAGGTTTTGAGGTGGTTTGTTCCACAGCAATTAGACAACAGAAACATGGGAACTTGGCATCAAATGCCAGAGACAACAGTTCTGATGTATGTGAAGATGAGATCAAGGTCAAGCAGGGTGGAATTTACAGAATGATTTTCTAGAAAGATACTCTATGTGTCTCAAATCACAAAGTAGTAATTCTGCCTATCATGGTACATATACACATTAAAAAAAAAAATCCAAGTTTATTTTATAAAAGAATGAAAAGCTTCTCAGGCTATCTTGACTATTGGGGAGAGAGGAGGATAGGGAGCAGCTACGACCTACAACCTGAAAAAGCACAGGCTTTCTAGCTTTATATTCAGATCTGAAATCTGAAACCAGGAATAATATTGACACAGTCCCCTTATGTAGCCAGTGCCTGTAAGAAGTAGCAGTTTTAGGGCCTCCTTGGTGGAGCAGGTGTTAAAGTCTCAGAGCTATCAAGTTATCACTAGCCACTACAGCATGAGTTTGATCCCCGCCAGGGAGCTAACCCACACATGGCGCAGTACTGTCTTGCTTGCTGCTCCCCTCAGCAGTGTATTTCAGTAGATCCACCTGTTCTGCTCCCCACTCTGTCTCTGGTGAATCCTCTCATCCCTTCCCCTCTCCCCTCAACCTCTGGCCTAGATACCAGTTCTTATATGCATAAACAAATCTAAAAAAAAAAAAAAAAGTAGCAGTTTTACTTGTATTACTCCAAGCAAGTCTCTACCACTGGTCCCTAATCCCTCAGTTCTCAGATAATGGAGAAGACCTAACTAACTCTTTGGGGCTCAGCAACCTGAGATGCAGGGCCTCAGACAGGTGGAGGCTCTAAGGACTGCCCATTCCCAGGCACGGTATTTAATACACATGATTTGACAAGGGCAATAGTAGTTGTGTTTGGGGTTGATGTTCCTGAACAAATGTAGCTACTGGCTTCCAACACAGAGCTAGGAATTACTTTATTAAGTTTTTATAAACATCAAGTGATATCACCAAGTGCCTAGCCCATTGGAGAGCTTTCTACTCTGACTCAATCTTCAGTACCCACACTCCTTTCTATTACTAGTTGTGGAAGTCTGATGGATGCCTTTCATGGTGAGTATTTCAAATGAGTGAGACGCAACTTTCCTGAGAAAAGTTCTCAATCCTGTCCTCCAGGGATTCCCCTGAAAAATGACTATCTCACATTCACTGAAAAGCTACCTGCAGCCTCTCAAATTCCAGCACTACCCATTCTTTTCAATCGTAAAAAGACCTTAACAGAAAACCACCAAAAATATGAGAAAATTCTGGAATTAAGAAATAAAAATTAGACACGATCCAATTATTTCCTTGGAACAAACAGGAGACCAAGCACAATACTGAATCTAGTATCTTTCAAATAAACAAAACAGCATGTGTGTGTTCACTCAGAGATACCTAGACCACATGGAACACAGCACACACCTGTTCCAGGCCCACTAAATCCAACTACATGCTTTCATCTAACTATGCCTCTCCCTGACACCACTCACTCTGAGTCACTGGCATTCTACTATCTGCCTGATGGCTTTGGCTCTTGCCCCTCCTTTTGTCTGGAAAGTCCCTTCCACCCTCCTTTCCTAAAATCTGGGTTGGCATGCTGTGTGAGGCTACTCTAAACAATGTTTTCTGACCACCTCTTGTCCCAGAATCCTTCAAGAAAAGTTCCATGTATGGTGCCCATGCCTTCACCATACAGACAGTAAATGCTAAGATGTTCTGTCTACATATGTCCCCATTGGGCTGTGAGATCACAAGAAGGACCTCCTATACAGGTCAACATTTTAAGATGTGCCATGGCCATGAGAATTGGTGGGATTTTGGCAGTACTGCTGCAATACACTCAAGTTGGTAAGGTAAGGTTTCTCTGGCCTGACAGCAGCATCTCCAGAAGAGGAAAATACAAGGAGCATACTTCACCTTGGTCAGTTTTGGTTGCTGGCTTCCAGTTTTCAGCACTAATTACAGGCAGACAGACCTGCCCCTTTTCATCGATGTTCGGGTGATAGATCTTTGTTTTAAATGTGATCTTCGGTGGTTTGAATGGGTACTCTGCTGGAAAGTTGATTTCGATTCTGAAGGCTCCCTTATCATATGGAGGGTTGTCCTGGAGGGAAAGAAAAGAGATCAAAATGAACACACCATAGTTCATAAACCTGTTGAGATAGGAATATTCTAACAGTTTACTTGAAAAATTAATTTATTTCAAGTGGTATGTCAACTGACGCTTTGTCATCTTTAAAGCAACTCAACTATCAGTATTATTTCTACAACAAGATGTCTGCCAGGCTGTGAAAAGATCTGAGATTAATATGCTGGTTTCTTTATCCTTTTATTCCTTAGACTATTCTTTTTTTATTTTTAAAGATTATTTATTTATTTTTTAAGATTTATTTTTTTATTTACTTATACAAGCACTGGGTACAGTCAGAAACGTGGGAGGGTGAGAGAATTCACCAGAGCCAGAGCAGGGAGCAGAGCAGGCAGAAGGACCGAAGTACACTGCTGAGGGGAGCAGTGGGCAGCAGGAGAGGTCTGCGCGCCATGTGGGACCCTCCTCCGGTGGCTGGGGAGCAGCCGGGGATCGAACTGGCGCTGTGAGGCTGCGGGCAGCTTCACAACCCAGCGCTCAACCGCTGCGCCACCGGGGAGGCCCACCTTAGACTATTCTTTGAGTAGTTTCAGGTTTATAGCAAAACTGAGATGAAAGCAGAGTTCCTCTATGTTCTCCGCACACACTCACTATCTTACTGCCCACAGCTAGCACCAGAGTGATGTATTTGTTACAATTAATGCACCTACACTGACAGATCATTTTCACCAAAAATCCATTATAAATATATACTAAGGTTCACTCTTGTTGTTATACAATTTATGGATTATGCACACATAATCCATACCATATACCATGATTGGAATGTAGCCTTTCAGATTGGCTTCTTTCCCTTAGTACTATGCAATTACATTCCTCCGTCCTTTCATGGCTTGGTATTTCATTTTTGTTTTAGCACTAAATAATATTCCATTGCTGGATATACCACAGTTGATTTTTTTAAATTTATTTTATTTTTAAAGATTTATTTATTTATACATACAAGATCTGGGGTACAGGCCAAAGTTTGGGAGGGGTAAGAGGATTCACCAGAGTGGGGAACAGAACAGGCAGAGCGACTGAAATACACTGCTGAGGAGAGCAACGGCAAGTCAGGAGAGGCCTGCTGTGCCATATGGGTCACCTCCCCGGCCAGGGATCAAACTTACGCTGTAGTGGCTGCAGTGAGCATCATAGGTTGTGTCTTAACCCCTTACAACACCAGGAAGGCCCTATACCACAGTTTATCCATTCATCAACTGAAAGGTATCTTAGTTGCTTCTGAGTTTTGGCAATTGGGAATAAAGTGGCTATAAACATCTATGTTCTCAACACACAGAAGTTTTCAACTCAAAAATACCAACAAGCACAACTGCTGGATTGTGGGGTAAGAATTCTGTTTAGTTTTGTATGGCATTACCAATTGCCTTCCAAAGTAGCTGAATCACTTTACATTCCCATCAGCAATGAGATTTTCTCACTCGTATCCCTCGCAGCATTTGGTGGTGTTTTGAATTTACACCATTCTAATACGTGTGTATCTCACTGTTGTTTCAAATTTTCATTTCCTAGATGACATATGATTTTGAGCGTCTTTCCAGAGGTTTATTTCCCATCTATATAAGTAGATTGTTCTAATTTTTAAATTCAGATTCTTTGTTTTCTTTTTTTCTTCTTCTTTTTTAAAAGATTTATTTATTTATGCATATAAGAGCTGGGGTACAGGCCAGAGATGGGGAGGGGGGTGAGAGGATTCACCAGAGACAGAGTGGGGAACAGAAAAGGCAGATTGAATGAAACACACTGCCGAAGGGAGCAGCGGGCGAGTCAGGAGAGGTCTGCTGTGCCATGTAGGTTGCTCCCTGGCCGGCCGGGGATCAAACTCATGCTGCAGAGGCTGCGGACTGCTTCATAGTGCGGTGCTTAACCCCTTGCGCCACCAGGGAGGCCTATTCTTTGTTTTCTTTTTTTTAAAAAAGATTTATTTATTTATTTATTTATACAAGCAGTGGGTACAGTCAGAAGCGCGGGAGGGTAAGAGAATTCACCAGAGCCAGAGCGGGGAGCAGAGCAGGCAGAAGGACTGAGGTACACTGCTGAGGGGAGCAGCGGGCGGCAGGAGAGGTCTGCGCGCCATGTGGGACCCTCCTCTGGTGGCCAGGGAGCAGCCGGGGATCGAACCAGCGCTGCAGAGGCTGCGGGCAGCTTCGCAACCCAGAGGTCAACCGCTGCGCCACCGGGGAGGCCCCTATTCTTCTGTTTTCTTAAGAATTCTTTGTATATATTGGATAATAGTCCTTTATCAGACATGTTTGCAATATCTCTTTTATTTAAAAATATGAAGAGTCCCACTAGCGGTAACAACCCAACCCAGACCAGCACAGGCCAACAGGGGCTTGAAGCCAAATCCTGGCCAGTTTGATCTAACAAGGTAGCGCTAACACCCACCTTGATGGCAAGACTCTGGGGGCTGACCTGGCCCCTAGGTGGTTGCCAGGCAGGACCAGTACCATGCCTCACACCCTTGTCCCTAGTACTACCCAAAAATCTAACCCTCAAGGACTAGGCTAGATGGTCCCAGGTGCCTCTAAGAGAGCCGCTTCCTCCCCAAGCCCCAGACTCTCTACCTCCACTTCCAGAGTAGAATAAGTCTTTCATCTACTGCCTTTTCCCAGTACTCTGGATCTCCTGGGTCCCACCTAAAGTGTACTATCTATCATGGAATGCTCAGAAACCCTTGGCAACCCCCACACCACTGCCCTTCTTCTCAAGCCCAACCCTAACTGAGCATTCTCTAACAAGCAGAGTTCCTCTGCTGGGGATATATACCAGGTCTCCACATCACCTATGTTTCACACCCCCTCAGGGGAGGGAAAGATGGTACAGGGCCTTCAAGGAAGGGTACGAGTAGGGAAGGCAAAGGAGTAGGAGAGGCTTGCACGCTGAGAGAACTAAAGACAGGGTCTGGGGAGGGACAGCATGAGACAGGACAGGAAGCAGAGTGGCTGAAGGACCACATGGAACCTGTCTGAGAAAACATGCTGTGTGGGGAGAAAGAAACTACACACATCTGGAAAAGGTAAGGATAAGACAGGACTTCTCTAATTCCTCCTGTAGGGAACACAATTCCTACAACACTACACAGAAGTTAAAGTGGCAGAAGACCCCTCCCAGGTTTTGTCCTATCTGCCCACCCTGCTCACTACCAGAGAGCTAGACTCACTGTCACCCACGGGTTAATGGGGTAAGTGTAAGAATACTGCTTCTGGCTTTTAAGGGGAAGACTTAATTATTTTTCTAAGTGAAAATCAGTGTCAGGCCTCCCCGTTGGCGCGGCAGTTGAGCGCTGGGTTGCGAAGCTGCCTGCAGCCTCTGCAGCACTGGTTCAATCCCCGGCTGCTCCCCGGCCACCGGAGGAGGGTCCCACATGGCGCGCAGACCTCTCCTGCCTCTCCTGCCGCCCGCTGCTCCCCTCAGCAGTGTACTTCGGTCCTTCTGCCTGCTCTGCTCCCCACTCTGGCTCTGGTGAATTCTCTCACCCTCCTGCGCTTCTGACTGTACCCAGTGCTTGTATAAATAAATAAAAATAAATTTAAAAAAAAAAAAAAAAAAAAAAGAAAATCAGTGTCATTTACACTGTTTGAGTCATGTAAAAAGAACTTTCCTGTATGACTCTTGGTTGCTGAGATCAGCTATATTTGTTTATTCTTCCCCAGGACTGCCCCAAAGCCTTCTGCAATGTGCCAGGCGTTGTGCAATGGGTGAGTCCCCACTAGTAGTTCTAACCTGGGGTTCCTAGCTGGGTGAACCTGGAAACATTATGAACATCTATAAAATGGGGGTAAGAGCAGTCTGCACCCAGTCTGTTCTGATGATATACTCCTGGCACATAGGCAAAAAAAACTGGAAACATCAGCTCTGATGTCAGAGGGGACAGGAAAGGCTTAGCCACTCATTGTCCATGGAGACTTGATCAAGCTCATCTTAACTTCTTTGAGCCTCTGTCTGTCCGAGGCCCTGTGGATGACCAAAGGCATGCTACAAGCATGTGCAAATCACTCACTGCCCATCCGTCCCTTTGATTTTTGGTGGAGGTGTATAAAAATTAAGCATAGGATATACCTTCTGGATAAAGATCTAAAGCTCCACATGTGAATTTCCACATCCTAGAGCTAAATTGTTCCTGGGGGAAGGCAGGTTGGAACCTACATGGGATCTTAATGAGAAAACATGATTAAGCACAAAAATAACCAGGAATTTGCCTCCAACTCAAGACCATTTCATGATCAAACTAGCCAGAGATTTCATCATTTCTGGACCTCCCTGATGGCGCAAGGGATTAAGTACCGCACCATGAGGCAATCCGCAGCCTCTGCAGCATGAATTTGATCCCTGGCCAGGGAGCTACCCACATGGCAAGGCAGACCCCTCTTGTTTCACCCACTGCTCCCTTCAGCAGTGTATTTCAGTCAGTCTGCCTGTTCTGTTCCCCACTCTGTCTCTGGTGAATCCTCTCACCATTCCCCCCACATCTCTGGCCTGTACCCCAGCTCTTGTATGCATAAATAAATCTTTAAAAAAAAAAAAAGATTTCATCATTTCTGTCTTTATACATGGCCCTAATCAGTGTTTTCCTGCCTTTATTTGGATGCCTTGCATTCCCTTCAGCTAATATTGCTATGCCAAGGAATCTTCTGAGATGTAAAACTAATTTCTTCTGATAATTTTACGTGCTCTAAATTAGTTCAGGCTTTAAATTTTATCTCTTTCCTGAAGGTGCTGCAGGTGATTAGCCAAATATGTATTTCTTAAAACCCCAAGTCTAAATTCCAAGTCACTATTCACTTTCCCTTTATGTAAGTGTTTTGTGGTCTCCTTGGTGGTACTGGGGTTAAAGCCTCAGTGCTATCAAGCTATTGCCAGCCACTGTGGCAAGAGTTTGATCCCCAGACAGGGAGCTACCCACATGGAGCAGTAGATCTTTCCCATTCCACCCGCAGCTCCCCTCAGCATTG